TCTATGTAGCATTATTTTTTATTTCAGATTTACAGTAGTTATTTTAGTACTTAATTTCAATTAGTTGCAAAGGCAACATTTCTCATTTTCGTTTATGGTTTTTAAGTTTAAGTTTTTCATCTTATATTTACTTAATATTAGATTAATTTACTTTATAATATTATATTATCATTTAATATAATAGTATTTAATACTTATATTATTAATATTATCATAATTTATTATTATTTCAGCGTTATTTAAATGAATGATAACAATGTATTCTTCATCTACTTATTTTCTAAATGTCACCTCACCTCCGAGAGCCCGTGTGTAGCCAGAGTAGTACAGCATTCTCTCTGTCGTGGTGGTCTTCCCTGCATCTATATGTGCCATGATGCCTATGTTGCGAATTCTGGCCAAGAACATAATATAAACATTAGGTGTTAATAGAACATTATTCTTATATGCTCAAGAGGAAATTGTAAAAATGCACTCATGCTAAAAAACAAAAAATTGTTCATAACAAATACCATAGTTTCACTGATCTAACCACGGTAATGAGAAGACACCCATGGTTTTCTTGCAATTAATTTCTTGAAAGTGTCTTACTACAAATACCACACCTAAACTGTGGCATGTAGCATGCAAAAACAATACTAGTTTTAAATGAGCTGTCATATCTTACTTTGAGATGTCAGGGTTGATCACCGCTCTCAGTGATTTCACCTCATCTGAAGAAAAAAAAATTGTGAACAGTAAGACACTAATCTAAAACTACACAATATGTAGAAATTTGTAATTATCCACTACTGTCCTTTACCTCGATAAATGCTGTAATTTCTATTCCCCATCACTCTGCATCTGCATGTCTGTGAATATCTGCTCATCAGGTGTCTGATGCTCTGAAATGGAATGAATGATGCTATGCTGAGTGAGTTCTGTTCTATCACAGTTCTATCATACACAGCTAAACCATTTTACCATTAGTAACCTTAGCTAATGCTGTAAAACACTAATACAAGTGTATGAGACGTCTTTAAAATAGTTTCAGAATCTCAAAACAGTGGTGGCTTTAAACAAGGCTTTACTATATTAACCATGGCATTTTGATG